GCTACTGGGAGTTCACCGTTGTAATTTGAGTGATTGAGAAATAGTTGCCCAAATCCCTAACCCCATCCTAACCCCCAACCCCAACAGTATTGTGTCCATCAGGTGGAGCTACATAATCACATCCTACCTATTTCTGACCCAGCCGAAGTGCACTAGCCGAAAGACACCAGGATGATGTGCTCCTAAAGTCAAACACTGGATCTTCGTGGTGTCAAGGTGACACTTAGTTCTTTCAGATCGACCCTGTTTAGCAAGGTTCCACAGCAACTAAGAGGAAGCATATCCACCCGCTCGGTCCTTTATCAGGTCGGTAAGCAATATCGAATCTGAACGACGATAACCCCAGCCTTCAGCGTTCGGTTTCGCCATTATCCGTTTCCCCTTTTTGTTGATTACCGTAGGTAAACAACAGAAAGCTGATCTGTAATGAGTTTAAAATGATTATGATAGGTAAGGTGCTCCATTTGCATGTGGGTTTGACCACGGCGTACGGTCCTTTTTGGACAGTAGAATGATGCCGCTGATTTGAGGGTAGACTACGCGGAAACGCCACTGTTTGACCATTCTGATTTAGTGCGGCGGCAACTGTCACGTCCGAGGCATCGGCTTTTCCAAACACTGGCATATCATACCGATCGGCAGTGATTGTCACTCGCATGTTTCTTAAGAGCTACGAATGCGTCCACAACCCTTGGCGGTAGAGGGTAGGTTTTGTTGTGAAATGGTAGTGAATTTTACCCAAGAAATTCGATGTTCATTGTGAATAATGGGCAGTCTCACAGCTTGTTGTGGTACTAGGTGATGCGGAGGAGCCATTTCACGCAAAGGCTTTGGGCGATCTGTACCTCGTAATCAAGGTGCCTGATTTGCTTAACAGCGATGACACCTGGCTCCACTAATGGTCAGTCCGTGTTTTTAGGCCACGCCGAGGAATTTTCGAAGACTTAAATTGCTCAATTAGGCCGTTCCCACAAATGATGATATTGTCCACGTAGACAAAGGTACTCTTCAGGTACTCGCTTGTAATTATGTCATCTGTGTTTAGTTGGAAACATTCGATCCCGTTGATCACACAAAACGAGGTTCGACGAAATTGCTACAAACGCTCGCAAGCTCCAAAGACTGTATATGGCCGTTTCCCTGTCCGGATAGCTATCTCATGACAAACGCCTCTGAGATCGAGAGGGCTACTCGTGTCTTAGTCCGCAATGTACTCAATCATTTCGTCCATCCAGTGGTAGAGGTAGGCATCAGGAGGTGGCGGATAGTGGGACGACCTTCAGTGAAGGTTAGCTGCGAAATAAGCAGACCCAGGTCGGACGAATAAGCAGTCGCGGACCAGCAGCGGCATTGCTACCAGGGTGCGGTAGGCTGAAGTCAGGCACGCTGAAAGCCTTATAAAATGCCGCAAAACCCAATGACGGCATTGTGACATGGCGACCGTAAACCGCCATTAAATAAGAAACCCCATGAAACATGTCCGATCACAGTACTACGACCCATGCTACGGCGTCCGCGGGAACCGACGCGCTCCGCAACCCTGGTCCAGTGGTGCGGGCGAATAGTATGCGAGCTGGACTACTCAATCGTGGACGGACTCTCAGTATTGGATGCTGGGATGTACGAACCTTCCTGGACCCTGGTACCCAATGTCTGACCGCACGCAGCCTTCATCAGTACAACGTGGATGTCTGCTGTCTGTCTGAGGTACGACTCCCTGACTCAGGCTCCCGTTAACAAAGATCCCGGGAGTCGAATCACACTTCACCCTGTACTACAGCGGCCCCCGCGATCCCTCTGGTCGACACGGTGTGGCGATCGCCCTATCACAACAAGCAGACCTCGCGCTACTTGCTTGGGAACCAGTCAATGACCGGATGGCCTACGTGCGACTGAAGGGTCACTTCACGAACATCTCCATCGTCGCTGTGTACGCACCAACTTCGGCTGCCGAACAGCGCGATAAAGAAGCGTTTTACTCTCAGTTGCAAGCGCTAGTTGAAAGACTGCCTCGCCGCGATATGCTGATTGTAGCTGGCGATTGGAATGGTCGAACTGGACCTGGCGACTCCACAACCAGTCATCTTCTTGGCCGCTTTGGGCTTGGTTCTCGATGTGAAAATGGTGAGAGATTGCTGAACTTCGCTGATCGAAACCGACTGCTTCTCACCAACACGTGTTTCCAGGATCGCAAAAAAACATCTGCTGACCTGGTATTCAAACGACGGTCGTACGGCCAGTCAGATTGACTACATACTAGTCAGCTCAAGGTTCCGCAGCTGGGTTCACGAAAGCAGATCGATGCGTGGTGCCGAGACTGGTAACGCCCATGGGTCGGACCATGTCCTCGTCCGTACACGCCCGAAAGTGCATCTCTCATCCGCGCCAAAAATGCCACGTCCTAGACGCCTCAATGTCGCAAAAATCCGGCAAGCCAGCACTGCCGAGGCCCTAAGCAGAGAAATCCGGACCTGTTTTACGACCCAAGCCGACGGAGAAGTCAGTAACCAGTGGTCGTCACTAAAGACATCAGTCTATGGGACAGCTGAGAAAATCCTTGGATACACCCAACGATGCCGCAGTGATTGGATCAGCGGAAGAACCCTGCAGTTGTCTGCTCAGACAGCTAGAGCCAGGTCCCGCAACGATGACTACTTCCGCCAACTTCGGAAGATGACGGCAAAATCGGCCAGGAATGACCGGAAGCAATATTGGGCTGAAATAGCGACATCCATGGAACAGGCCCCGAACGTTGGTGACACTCGAAAGCTCTACCGTCTGATCCGCCAAGTTAGCGGCAAGCCCTCTACACTGAGTGACTCTGTTCGCGATGTGAACGGCGGCTTTATTGCTGACAACTCGGCCAAAGTCGAGCGCTGGCGTGAGCACTTTGAGCACCATCTCAACTTCGATACCCAACCTACATCGCCCTTGCTCTCCTCCTCAGCGGAGTTTCTTCCCTCTCCTACCTACGCAGTGCAATGCGATCCCCCCTCCGAGGAAGAAGTCGCCGATGACATACGAAAGTTGCGCAACAATAAGGCACCCGGAGAGGACCGTATACCCGCTGAACTCTTCAAGTCTTGTGTCGACACTGGCGCCCTGGCTCCATGAGGCGATTGAACGAGCGTGGAGAGACGAGGTTGTTCCTGATGACTGGGACTTTGGCATCCTTGTACCTATCCTGAAGAAGGGAGATAAGACGAGATGCGAGAACTACCGCGGCATAAGTCTCATCGACGTTGCTGCGAAGATCTTCGCTATTGTCCTACTCAGGCGATTCCAGGATGTGCGTGACTCAAGGACGAGGCCCAACCAAGCCGGATTTCGTGCTGGACGTGGATGCGCAGATCAGATATTCACACTGAGGCGCATTCTCGAATTTCGCCATAGCTACCAACAACCGACGGCCGTCTGCTTCGTTGACTTTGCCGCCGCGTTCGATTCCGTTCACCGTGAGTCCCTGTGGCGGATAATGGCGCTAGATGGTGTACCGGCAAAAATCATCGCCATGATCAAGGCCTACTATCGCTCCACTACTGCGAGAGTCCTGGTCCGTAACAATCTTTCCCAACCGTTCGGTATTCGGTCTGGCGTCCGACAGGGTTGTATCCTGTCACCCATACTGTTCAACTACGCTATTGACCGGATCCTCGGAAGGGCCCTATGCGACAGTGACGGCGTTGAATTTGCACCCGGATATCGACTGACTGATCTCGACTATGCCGATGATATCGCCTTACTTGCTTCAAGTTTTGGTGATCTGCAGTCTATGGTGTCACGGGTGAACGAGGTCGCTAAATCAGTCGGTTTGTCCATAAACGCTGGGAAGACCAAAGTATTCTCAAGCTGCATCCTTGACCAGGAGAAGGCACCCCTGGGGATTGATGGCTGTCAACTTGAAGAAGTGGACAGTTTTAAATACCTCGGGGCGCGGCTGCTGCCTAATGGACAGAGTAAGGACGACATTGTCTCCCGAATCGATGTTGCCCGCTGGGTTTTTTCAAGCCTTCGGAAATGCCTGTGGAGCCGACGTGACCTATCCATCGCCACTAAGATTCGCGTGTACCGTGCATCTGTCCGGTCTGTCCTTCTCTACGGTTGTGAATGCTGGGCTTTGCGCGTGGAGGACGAGCGAAAACTGGAGGTATTTGACCACCACTGCTTGAGGATCATCCTTCGAGTGAAGTTAACCGACTTCGTCTCAAATGAGACAGTCCGCGCTCGCTGCGACAACATCGCAAGGATAACTCAGGCCATCCAAGAAAGACGACTGAAGTGGTTCGGGCATGTTCTTCGTCGTCCACCTCAGGAGCTCAGTGTTACTGCCCTCGATCCGGCACCGTTGCCCCATTGGAGGCGTCGAAGAGGTGGTCAGTTCAAAACCTGGCTCGACACTGTCCGTCAAGACATGGAGGTGGTTCTTGGACCTTCGGTATTCGGTCTCCGTCGTTGGCGAAAAGAATGGGTTGAGCTGTCTAGATCTGCTGCCGCAGATCGTCACTCGTGGAGAGGTACAGTTCGGGACGTCATCGAGGCCGGCTAGATCAGGCATGATCGCAGCCGTATCAAGTACAAGTAAGTAAGTAGTACATCAGGAGGTGTGTATTTGTTGATGTTTTGGGTGTAATCAACAACCACCCGCTTTTTGTGATTTTCATCAACTATCACCAGGACTCGGGCACGCCAGGGGTGGGGCGGACTCCATGACGCCTTCAGAAGGGACAATTCTCTAATCAACGTCTGAGTGCCTACAAGATTTTGTCGCCGTAGACATGCAGTAATGAGTTAGATTAGAAAAACACGGAGGCTCGAAGCAAGCAGAGGCCATAGAACATGATAAAAGCGTAGGCTTATTTGCACCAAAAAGAATTTAAACACTTGTGGAGCCGAAGAAAGTCTTGACCAAGTGGAACATCGGCACAAAAGTTCGGCAAGACCAATAGCCTGGCTTCGTAAATGGCACCTTTATATTTAATGGAGACGAAAACACGTCCTTGTGCGTCGCTGGTCAGGGTGGCGGTAGCTATGGATATCTTTGTGTAAGATTTGTTAACTTGTTATATCGGGAATACTATGGAGGACAAGATGTGACTCTCAGAACTGTCTGTGTTTATCAAGGTCCGAAAATTACTCCTGTTGGTCAGTAGTTCAACAGAGGCATTTTAAAGGAAATCGGAAACTGCAAGCCATGCTATAACGGAAGTAGTCGGATCGGATGGCTGATTCGTAAACTGGCGTTTTTGGGAGCAAAAACAGGCTGGGCATCGCCTGCTTTGGCGTTAGAACTCTTACATCGACAGCCCAGGGCCCAACACGTCCTTCTCCGGATTGGGTTCGCGCAACATTACGGCATCGGGGATGGAAAATGTTCCCGCCTCTAGCGGATCTTTGTCATCGGCAACTCTGATCTACATTGTATTGCAGCTGCTCACAGTAATCAGACAAAGCCTCTTCGTTCTACTGCCTTAGACCTCACAATTGTTGGTGGATGTTGGGAGTATGCAGTTACAGGCAGTAACTAGGCTTGTCGTATTGCTTGACCTTGTGAATAGGTAAACGTCCTGGACGTCAACGTATGATGTACCCATTACGCGAGTTCTTGGGTATAGCACTGGGAACCCGGTACGCAAACAGCGATTGACTTGTCCGTTTCGTTCCATTGGACCTCTGTCGTTACGAATGTTTCTCTTTGCTGTCCTAGGTAGTGGTCACACTCAAGATCAAATTTATCACCACTCCGAGTACGCTGCGCCGGCCCTTTGCTAAACTGCTGCGGTATGCGTGTCGTCGACACCGGCAGTGAGAATGACTCATATCATTGTCTTTGCGAGGCCTCACCTACATATTAGACTACGTGCCTGCGGAAGGATACCACCTGCTAATACTCCTCCACGACCCCGATTTTCGCATCTGCAACTGATTCCATGCACTGACACAGACATCACCAACATACGAGACTCTATCGAAAATAACTAGCTGTACTGCGGCTTGTCTCCTGAGTACATCGCAGGATTTAATAGAACAGCAAACTTCGCTAACAACATTGGATTTCTGGTGGGACCCCTCGACTGTACGATATTGCAAGGGCTGCTCGCCGTCAGTGCCACCCGGAGTACAGGAACTTGCGTCCTTCGACAATGATTTACAACGGGCTTTGACTAGCAGTCACACCAAGTGTTTGTACAAGACTTCCAAGATAAGTCCGTCTGATAATCTGGCTGCCCCTGCAATCCAAGGCAACTGATACATAGTGAGATCGTCACTGCCAGGCACCGTTGGGCCACAAAACAACAGCCCTGTTGCACTAGGCCTAGACGGAACTAGTTTATAATACGCATACAGTGGAGGCCTTGGGACACGTGTCCAGTTGGCTTGCCCTGGGTTTGCAGCTGGTCCTCCAAGATGAGAGCCACTTCACAGTAGGTCCCTCCTGATGTTGCTGTATGACACTTTACATATTTCGGGGGATCAGCATGTGTCTGACACCCAGAGATGGGAGCTTTGATAACTCACTCTGCGCCATGCCGATCTGCCGCGTCGATTTGGCATCCTGTCCTTGGAACAAGGTAGGTATGCTTTATTCAGCGCACGCCGGCAGTTCTATGCTTCGCATACTACTGATCGTAGCGTCGCCGTGCTCACAAACTCCCTTGCAGAAATTCAACACGTTTTGTTCTAGGTAAGCGCAAAGTGGCTGGAGCAGGCCTGGAAAGAAACTCCAAAACGTAGATGGTTCAGGGCTTTATGGTCGTTGGCATGTGTGCCGGCTCTTGGTATAGTTGGCAGCCAATTCTAAACTGACAAAGTAATTACGAAATCAGCCTTTGGATTAAAGCAAATGCGCAGGGCCTTTGTTCAACTCACGAAGTCTCTGGAATGGGCTTGAACAAAGTACAAGCGCGCGAGGCTTCTCCCTAAATCCCTCTATGCTGTTGTGAGACCTATCCCGTGCCCTCAATCGTTGACGCATATGATGGATTTCCCGATGGGTTAAAAGCTAACATATTCCCTTATCAATCTTGTAATCCAACCCCAGCGATATCCTATTCAAAGCCGTATTTTAGAGTGTCGGTGCATTGTTTGGGTATACTTCGGGAACCTACCTCGATTTTCAGGAGCGCTTCTATGATATACCTATTTCTCATCCTACTGTGCCCCGAAACCAATTTTAAAGGGACTTCTCCCAAAACTATTTTGTAAAGCCGTTGCCATTGTACTATGACAGTTTCAACCCTCTTATCAACACCGCTCTTGACACCATTTCCTTTTGCTACTCTACCAAGTCTAAATTTAACGCGTTCAGTTGCTTTTGCGTCATTTTTTTAGAGTCAACTTGTCGAATGCATGGGTAACTGAAATTCATTTTCGACGTCTGTCGATGCCAAGGCAGAGTTTGTTATAACGTCCCTGCTATGAATGAGAACCCAAACCCCAATGCTTCATGTATCGGAATTTCCGGAAGTCGAACGTTTTCGCTGAAGCAGCCCGATGCGGGCCTGTTACCGCAAACCTTCAATGGAAACCAACC